TTTTTTTTTTTTAACCTAGACAGTCTTAGTGATCTTTGTAAGAATTTTTTCCTAGCTTTCCTAAGGTTCAGGGAAGAACACCATGAACCTGAATCTTTCTACCCCACACAACATACTAGCTGAAGGTAAAATGCCAGTTACAGAAAGGCACATCCTTAAAATTATAGATTCTTATGCCAGATCATGTTAAGATTTATTTTAATATTTTTCTCAGTCTTTTAATGGAATTAAGACATTACACCTATTTCTTTAATTCATCTGGAATTTATTTAAACTAATGGTGTGAGGTAAGGATTCCTTAGTGACATTTTTTGACACTATGTACTTTGAAAACTGTACAAACAATCTATTGTCTCTAGGGATCTTTCCAAAGGACTATTTTATAGTGAAATCACTTGTAATGAGGTCCTTTTGGTCTTCAGTAACAACCTTTTGGATGATCTCCAAGGCAAATCTATCATCAACCTAGGGCTGCTCCAGAGTGACCGCCTTTATTGCAAAATTCCAAATGTCCCCAAGAATAACCTATGTACAGGACTGAGGGTCAGGTGTCAAAGTGAATTAAAAGGTAAAACAATTTCAAAAGAGAAATGGAGGTTCCTCTAAAGTTTTCAATTAGGAAAAGAGCTATTAAGCCCTAAATTGCTTTATCTAGTAAAGACTGGATTAATACCTCCAGCATATGCTTTTCTTTCTATCTTGACTCTGTCTCTCTTAAGTCCCTACAGGTTATTTCTGTAAAGAAAAACAAAAAGAGCTAAAAATTCTGCTTCACTCAAATCTTTCTTAGAACTTAGCACCTCTTTTCTGTCACCATAAATTTTTGCTCCATAATCCAAACACACAGAAAATCCAGATAACCAAGATGGATCACATATGACAAAAAAAATACAATGATGACCTGAGCTTCACCAAGTCCTAAAGCATCATGTCTAAGGGGAAATGTGAGAGCCAACTTTAGAGACAATGAAAAAAACAAAATGCTGCTACTCGCAGAAATATAAACAGTCAAGAACCAAGCAGTCAGGCAAAATCATGCATAACTACTATATATCATCACAGATCATTTGCAACATACCACACCCTATTAATCATTCTTCATTTTATAAGGGTATCAGTTTAAAAAAATGGATAATCACTGAGCTATGCATAATGGCCCTCCTAGAAAATGTCCATATCCAAATTTCTGGAACTTGTGAATTTTTGACCACACGTGGCCAAAAGGAACTTTGCAGATGTGATTAAGGTTAAAGAATCTGAGATAGATGTGACCCTACTCTGTCTGGATAATGCCCCATGGAATCACATGAGTCCTTAGAAACAGAGAACCTTTCTCAGTTACAGTCACATGAAAATATGAAGCAGCATCAGAGCTGAAACTGGCCTTGAACACTGAAGAAGGGGACCATGAGCCAAAGGATAGCTTCTAGAAGCTGGAAAGAGCAAGGGAATGAAATCTCCCCCAGAGCATCCAGGAAGAAAACCAGCCTGCTTGATCTTAGTCCAATGAGACCTATGTTGAACTTATGACAATAAATTCTAACTTGAAGTCACTACACTTGTGGTAAATGATTACAGCACAAGAAAAAAATTACATTTTTAAAGCTGAATTGCTTTTGTTTTTTTAAAGATTTATTTATTTATGTATACAGAACTGGGGTACAGGCGAGAAGTGCAGGGGCTGTGAGAGGATTCACAAGAGACAGAGTGGGGAGCAGAACAGGCAAATGGACAAAGTACACTGCTGAGCAGCGGGCGGGTCATGAGAGGTCTGCTGTGCCAAATGGGTCACCTCCTAACAGGGGGTTGAGCTCACACTAAAGCAGAACTCGCACTGAAGTGGCCAAGCCTAGCTTCACAGTGCTGTGCTTTAATCCATCATGCCACCAGAGAGGGCCAACACACTTATTTTTAAAATTACTTGGGAATAACTAGATGTGGAGCTACTTCCTATCTTTAGATATTCATAAAAACTGCCTTCTAACTAGATATCATGTAATTGTAGGGGGCTCTCTGGTGGTGACAGAACAAATGTCAGCAGCTATCTGGGACAGGAGAAAGAGTTACAAGGAGACATGAAGAAAACTGGAAGTACTAATCATGTTCATTATTTTGATTGTAGTGAAGGTTGTACAGGTATATATGTCAAAACTTGAGTCAAACTTCACATATGTATTTTTGTAACAATATCAACCATGCCTCAATAAATCTTTCTGAAAAGTACGACTAGAAAGAAACATATCTTAATATTGATAGGAAAAAAAATATTCCTGATACAGATTAAGTGAAGGGAAAAGCCATGGAATTACATATAGATCTATTTATGCAAACTATATATGCTGACATTGACTATATGTATGTACATGAATTAGAAAAAAAGACTTTTGCATAGAAGAACTGGGGTGGGGTGAGGTGAGAGGATTCACCAGAGACAGAATGGGGAGCACATCAGGTAGATCTAGTGAAATACACTGCTGAGGAGAGCAGTGGATGAGACAGGAGAGGTCTACTGCACCATGTGGGTCAGCTCCCTAGCTGGGGATCAAACTCAGGCTGGTGCAGTGATAGTTCTAAAAATCCTAGGCCACCAGGGAGGCCCAAGCCTGCAGAGTTATATCTTAGCTGTTCACTATTTAAGACTGTTACTTATCCTTAACTTGTTTGTACTTGTTATAATACCAACAATCATGTATTGTTTCTGAAATTTAAAAAATAAGAGTTAGAAAAGTAATTGGCAGATTTAAGATGATCTTGAAGGCTAATAGCCAAATGCATATTTTTTTATATTTAAAAAAAAAGTGGAGTTTGCATTTAGAGAAAAGTAGCCCCTGCCTTCTATTTAGCTAAGTTTATCAGATGCAGACCTGCGTGTGCTCTCTCCCCAGAAGAGAACCACAACTTCTGGAAGCTACCCTCAGGGGGGTTAGCATTTGTCTACAAGTTAGGCCTCTCAAGGCACAAAGCTGTCAAGAGCTTTTAAAGACCAAAAGTTTCCCCACCAATTTTCAATGGGTATAAGGAACATTCAAGGACACAGTGAAAATGTGACAAGGTTTCTGAACCACACGCCTCAAGTATTCAGTACCTTGGATAATTCTCTGCTGCTGTTGTCGAATTTCATCAAAACCCAAGCCTCTGGTCTCCTCTGGCTCCTCGAAGAGCCAAGGGTTGGGTACCGCACGGTTAGCCCCTCCAGTCATGAGGCTGGACCTAAAAAACAAGATTGAATGTGTTACACAACTCAAAAAATATAGCTCTGCTGTAAATTACTCCCACGAGTGCACGGGTGGCCAGCCTTGCATGCTCTGAATGCATTCAATCTGACCACAATTTATTGCGTCTTTAGTTCATGCCAGCAACTGAGTTCAGTGCTGGAAGAGATATGAGAATGGATCAGGCACAGCCCGCTCCCCCAGAGAGTTACAGGCTGTTTAAGGGACTGTGGCAGCACATGACACTCTTACTAATCCTCCGAGATACATTTGCGTCAAGAATCACAAACGATGGTCTTAAATTCCAAAAACACAAGGCCAAATAAAAGCAGCCTTTTTATTAGGATAAAATTTGTCTCACAGACTATGTGACACCAAAGCACAAATGTTATTTCCTAAGAAGATACAATGACGTGACTACAGATTAGAGCATTAAAAAATGGCCATAATTTCTTTTATATGTGTATACATACACATACGTACACAATGTACACATCATTTCTTACTAAAGGTTGCACACAGATAGAGAAACATGTAAGGCTTAAAATCTAATTTTATCAGTATAATGCAGCATCCTAACATAGAGGATTCTAAATTATCAATCTTAATCTTCATGTTTCTAGTAATCCACAAGGCTCTTCTGCACCAGACATATCATAGCCCAAGGAACAGGGGAAACACATTTTTGGCCTCTGTCTCCATTTTTGTAGGATCTTTTTCATCTTGAGCGTCTCCTTTCCTGTCCACTCTTATCCCATTTGTCCAAATTGCAAGGATCACGCTGTTTATGAAACCATCTTTGAACCCTTCACCCCACATTATGAATAGTTACCCACTTCAGAAGAAAGTTACAGGATTCAAAAGAGAAGGCAAGAACTGAAAACACCCCTAATTGGACTACAACCCATGGAATGAAGAGATGTCCATGCTAAGCTTGAGTCCTGCCCCCATGACCTATCAGAAAGATTTGGGCAGTAACATCTGCCTCACAGGGCTGCTGGAGACTAACGCAGTTATACAAAAATGTTTACTTAGTCCTTGCTATGTGATAGGCTTGTACTCATCAGTGGGGATGGGGAAACAACCGACTAACCCAAATGTCTGCCCTTACAATGTATACAACCTTGTTATGGGGCTGGTGATGGTGGCCAGGGGTGGTCCAGGGATGAGGGGCAAGGGCAAGAGAACAATGCAAAATGTTTATTGTGCTTAAGGCAGTGTCTGAAAGACAGTCATCATTCTATCTTGTTACTGGTATCATTTTAACAATTACGGTGCTAAGATAGGAAGCATTTTTTTAAATAAATGAATATACTCATTTAACTTCTATTAATTTCATTTTTAGTTTAGCACTACTATTCCCATAGAAGATATGTATCAAGAAGAAAAATTGGAAGACAAGTTCTGATTTCTTACAGTAAGATTTTCAGCATGGAGTTGGTCTCTCCTCAGCCGTACTAACATGCTAAACAAAAGAACAACTTACTTCCGCACACTATCAAAAAAGCAGATGTGTTTCTTTAAAGCCTTATTTTACTTGGTTGGCCCCAAGTATCTAAAATGTCAAGATTGGGGATTTACTCCCTAGAAAAATCACTGTTTCACCTAGCTTTGAAGATGGGGATCGGGGGGAGTAGGAAGTAAGGAAGGAAATTTGCAATCATACCCTCTAACTCATAACATCTTGCAAGTGCGAGCTCTTGATCAAAATAGGAGCTGGGGGATGTTGGGTATGGCCCACGGCAAAAGCCATTGCTCAAAAGCAGCACACAAGGTCAGAGGCACGTAACACGAGCTTGACAGTGCATCTGTCACCAGCTCTGAGCAGTCATTCAAGTCAGCATATTGCACCTGAGTTGACAGTAAATACTGTGTCTCTAAAGTTACTGCGGGAATGCCCCCGGTAGCTCTTGCCACCCCTACAGCATATATTTGCTAACTATTAAAGGGGAAAATGAAAGAAAATTGCTCGAGCAATCTCTAAAAACAGCAGATTAGAAGTACAGCCTTTAATTAATTTTAATGAAAATTAAATACCTACAGATGTATTTAAGCACCTATTAGAGAATAAAGTGCCACACGGACGGAATCTAGCATTGATATAAAATACACATCCACCACCAGGCATAGAAGAAAGACTTCCTAGGTCTGAACTCAGACCAGTAGAAGCCCTAAGCACTAGGAATTATTTTGGTCTTGCCTCTCACACAGCTCAACATAAAAGCAATTGCAAACAACAGTACAGTTTGCCAAAGGAAAAAGTATTCTTCTGGGTTATCAGATTCCATGGTTTTGGTTCAATTCTTCAAGGCTGCATGAACTCGCTCTCCAATTACCCCCCCCACTTCCCACCTTTTTTGGGCTCTGAATTTTGCTGAAGCCCCAGACCCACTGAAAGTCCACAATACACGTGCCCTTGCTGCTAAGAACAGGCCAGACAGCTGGCACCACTTGTGTGCACAATACTTGATTTTTTCTTATTAGGTTTTAAGTTTGACTTAATACCTGGAGTGATGCCTCCTCTTAGTCCATATTCTCCTAAGTCAAAAAGGAAAAATACAAAGGAATTTCAGACAAAATTCTTGCTTTCAAGGAGTGTACAATCCAACTGGAAAGAGAAACTAACCACAATTACTAACTAAAATGGGAGGACAGCTAGCTTTGTATCCCTGGGCCATTGCAATACCTGCTTTGGCCCTGGTCTTTCACCCATAAAAAAAACTAAGTTGGGTAGTGGTTTTCAACCTTTAGTCTGGCCTAACATTGAGGACTACAACACCCTCCATAATGGGTGGGGTTGAGAAGTAAAAGACAGGGTTCATCTTGGTGAGAAGAGGCAGGTATTCTTTCTAGAGAATTCTTGCTAAAGAAGACTATCATTGGAAATCGCTTAGATGATCTATAAAAATCTTATAGCTGTAATAAAAAAAATTATCTCATTTCACCTGTACCCCCATGTTTATTGCTGCTTTATTTACAAGTTAAGACATGGAATCAATCCAAATGCCCAAAAGTAGATGGCTGGATTGTGACACATATACACAATGTAATATTACTCAGCAATCGAAGATAACCGCATGCCTTTTGCAGCATCATGGATGGGGCTGGAAGGGATCATGCTCAATGAAATAAACCAGAAAGGAAAAGAAAAATAATGGATGGTTTCACTTACAGCAGGAGCATAAAGGGCCAGGGGGAAAATAACAACAATAACGAACAACTATATACCAGGGTTATTTCACCGGGTTGGAATGGGAGAGGTGGGTGCGGGAAGTACACTGGACTATGGTCATGGCACACGGGTGATTTGGTGATGGGAAGCCCATGCAGATTATAACAGCGATGGAAAAAGGCACAAAGTGATACAAAAATAAACTATTATGTTAAAATTTAAAAATATATTTATCCAGAAGAAAAAAATTATCTTATTGAGTATTAAATTGCATAAATAAGAACAGAAAAAAAGAACAATTTTTTTTTTAAGATTTATTTATTTGTGCATACAGAACTGGGGTACAGGCCAGAGGCTCAGGGGTGGCGAGAGGCTTCACCAGAGACAGAGTGTGGAGCAGAGCAGGCAGATCGACGAAGTACACTGCTGAGGGGAGCAGCGGGTGGGTCAGGAGAGGTCTGCCACGCCATGTGGGTCACCTCTGGAGCAGGCGGGAATCGAACTCATGCAGAAGTGGCTTTAGCTTCTTAGTGCTGTGCTTTAACCCACTGCGCCACCAGGGAGGGCCCAAAAAAGAACAATTTTTACAAAACCCATTCTCCTCAATGCTCCCAAATCCCCCAGCCCCCTCCATTTCTGCTCCAGACCACCACTGACCACTGGTTCAAGCGAAAAACCTTGAAATCAGTTTTGACTCCTTCATACTCCACAGCACTCAGTTCATTGGCAAATCCTCAGAACACAACTAAAACCTGATCACTTCTCTAACTTGATGGCTTTTACCTTATGCTTCATCATGTCTCCTCTTTCCACTCCTTCTTCTACAATCTATTCCCCATAAAGCTACCAGAACAATTACTGGAAAAATCAATCTGCTCCTTCTACTCAAAATTTCCCTGGGTCTTCCCATCACCCTTGGCACAAAATATATTTTCACTATAGCATTCAAGCCACACCAGTCTCCTTGCCTTTTCTAGCATACAGGAGTCCATCCCCACATCAGGGTCTTTGAACCTGCTGTCCCCCCCATCTGCCAGCCTCCCCTACCTCACCCCCCCCACCATTACTAAGGCACTCTTCCCCAATGTTGTCATGTGATCTTAGCCACCTTATTTCATTCTACTCTGCTCTGCTGTCATCCTGTTAAAGGTTTCCCTAACTGTTCAATCTAAAATAGTCTCCTTTCCTGTATCTCCCCAACCCTCTGTTCCAGTCTTACTTTTCTTTATAGCAGTTAAGTCATCAGCTATTATAAATATATATATTATACATATATACATAAATATCAGTTTCTTGCAGTCACATACTTAGTAGCAGTGCCCTAGGTTCAATCCTCGGCACTTTCTACTATACAGCTCGGGGCATGTTTCATATGGGTAAGGGGACTCAGGCAGCTTTAAAGTACAGGTAAGGTCTAGCTGGGTAAGGGAGCGCTGATAAGGCTCTCCAAGGCAGGGAACTTGTGCCATCAACATGTGTGGGTAGAGTGGAGAGGGGGTGAAATGTGTGTGTGTGGGGGGGGGGTTTGGATCTAGTGGACTCAACCCCAAGGTAGGAAGCCACAGGAGCCTCACTCTGGTCTCCTAATCCCTTTCACACTCCTTCTACAGTCCGGTCATTTCCAAGAACTGCCCCACTCCTCCAAGTTCTGCAGCAAGGACGCTCTTTCCTGTTTATAGCTAACCTCCTTGAAGAAGTGCCATCAGTTACCAAGGCCCCCCTGGGAAGGTGGTCTCAAGTCTGCGCTCATTTCCATTCCCCCTGGCACTGGATGTCCACCGGCTTGACCACCTGACCATCCCTATTCACTCTTTAACCCACTGGGG